TTAGGTATACTCTTGAATCAGAGTCTTTCTTGCGTTTTCGTGGTTGGATAAGACTTGTTCAGATGTGTGCAATAAGTAGTTTTCTGTCGTGGGTTTTGATTTTGAAGGTTGCTTTCAAGGGCTATTTGTTGTGTTCAATATACTGATCTTATTGTGGTTCTCTAGTTTTGTAATGTGTGTGTGATTTTGTTTCCAGATGATGATGCAAATCTACGCAAGGACTCTTTCAGAAAAGACCATAACCCTTGACGTTGAAAGCTCTGACACCATCAATAATGTCAAGGCAAAGATCCAGAACAAAGAAGGGATTCCCTTGGACCAGCAAAGACTCATGTTTTCCAATAAACTGCTAGAGGACGGGCGTACCTTGGCGAATTACAACATTCAGAAGGACTCAACCTTCCACTTGACTCTCAGGTTGAGAGGAGGTATGCAGATCTTTGTAAAGACTCTTACAGGCAAGACCATAACTCCTGAGGTCGAAATCTCTGACACAATTGACAACGTCAAGGCCAAGATCCAAGATAAGGAAGGAATCCCTCCAGACCAGCAGAGGCTAATCTTTGCTGGTAAGCAACTGGAGGACGGTCGTACTCTTGCGGATTACAACATCCAGAAGGAGTCAACCCTTCATTTGGTGCTTCGTCTAAGAGGTGGCATGCAGATATTTGTCAAGACACTTACCGGTAAAACTATTACCCTAGAAGTTGAGGTCGATCGTACAGATGATACGGTGCGTCTGGTCAAAAGTTTAGACGATATTGAAAGTACAGACGATACGGTGCCTGAGGTNAAAATTTCTGACGATACAGGTGTGGTCAAAAGTTCAGATGATATTGAAAGTGCAGACGATACGGTGCCTGAGGTCAAAAGTTCTGACGATATTGAAAGTACAGACGATACGATGCTTGAGGTCAAAAGTTCTGACGATACAGGTGTGGTCAAAAGTTCAGACGATATTGAAAATGCAGACGATACGGTGCCTGAGGTCAAAAGTTCTAACGATACAGGTCCGATGCAACATCCGAAAAACTTCAAGCAGCCAAAATCAAAAAGAAAATCATCACTAAAAAAGTCCAAGGCAGATCAATGGGATCGAGTCTTGGATTTTATTAAGGACCATGGAAGATTTTTTATGGGATAGAAAAAATGGTCATTCTTAATCAAGAAGGTGAGCTATATTGGGTAGCCTTTATATTTTTTGAGAAAAATGAGCAGAAGCGACAAATTTTTATGACACTACCAAATGAGAGAAAGAAGATTGAATATCTTGAAAGAATGACAGGAATAAAGAACCAAGTATCTAGGTAGTTTTGAAGATAGTTGAGTTTGGACTTCCAATGGTCATGTTCATGAATTTGATGTAGGATTGAAATCTATTAGTTGTAACCCTTGTCTTCTCGATTTCAGGAGAAAGGATTAAAATTATGCCGGTTATGTTTACTCATGAACACTTATGTGTATAGTTTTGCAATTACATAACATTTACTGAATGTAAGTGATGATATTCATTTTTATTACCCTTAACACTGTAAACACAAGTCTATTGCTTTGAGTCAATGGTGATTCTGGATTAACATATAAAGTACGTACGTGTTACTCTACAGATCATCCTGGATTAACATATTATCTATGTTTTCTATCAAGTTGATAGGCAGAAGGCATGCGTAATGCATTTAGTGTCCGACAGTTTTCATAAGTGTGTCCAAAAGTTGCTAATAAAATTGGATCATGTTTGTTTTAATTATATTTTCATTATTCTAATTTTATAAATTCATAGAATTATACTAATTATAAATTTGGTTTTTACTTATTTAGATTAATAGTGAATTATATATGACAATATAACTTGCATTTATACTATATTTTGTATTACTATATGTTAGTTTCAAAAAACATATTCGCCATATATACATGGCATAAAATTCTGTATATATGTGTAAGCGCTATACAGTGATCGACCATCTGTTTATGTAACAGTGATCGACCATCTGTTTATGTAACGTATTTTAGAACACTATATTAAGAATTTAAAAAAGTTTTTAATAATTAAATTAAATTATACTAATGGACAGGTAATCAAATCCGTTGTAGCACACCGGTCTATTTCAAATCTTAATTGCTTGAAATTCCGGGCTCAATTCCCGGCAACGGAAATTTTTTATTCTACGGAATCCAACCGGACGGTTTTCAATTAGACCATGCCGAACCAAAATTATCCAAAACCGACTCGAACCGAACTGATTTTTGAAAAAAAAAAAAAAATCAGCGGTAATTCTGATTCGTTTCCCAAAACCCAAACAAAAACAAAGAAGCTTCACCAATTTCTTCAATCTCTTCTTCTTCCTTTCGTCTGTGGTCTTCAAGCTTCATCAATCTGAATCTGAATAACCAAAACTTTTGAATATACCTTTTCTCAGATTCTTGTGCCCATTCTATCAATCACTTCAGATTGATCCCATAAAAGTACAACAGCATCGAGTACACTGCCAAATATATAGAAACTCATATGTATTTAGCAGGAGGATTTTGCATCGAAATTGAACTTATGAAACGTTACTGCCTCCGCTCAACAGCAACTCCGATTTTCTACAAACACGTATCGATGCTCGGATTATCTGTTTGTTTCCCACTAAACTTGCAAAGAATTGGTGCAATTACTTGTAATCTTCATTCATGATCTCAAATATTTGTTAAATCACTATCCTAATCAACACATCATATCATTTGGTAACGTAACATAGTGAGAATAATTAAACTTTGTCCTGTGGGAGGAGATTTATTAGCTTTTGACACGAATGAGACAGCAAATTTTCTGTACATAAAATGGTGAACTTTGACCACTTTATATGGACGATTTTAACATGACGCGCAGAGTTTCAGAAGCTAACTCGCACAATGAGGATCGGATTATAAAGGCTAATTAATTCTCTAAATGTACTTTGATACAACAAAATCCAATGCTGTTATATTAGATGATTGAAAATTTGTAAATATGTACTACAATATATGGTCATATCGAGTGAGCAGAAAAATTATATTTCCTATTTCTATTTGTGTCGAGTTTTGGAAAATCCTGTTAACAACTCTATAGTTGTAAACAAGGGAAATACTTGGTAAACTTGATGCTTGTATTGATCACGGCAAAGTGCCTTATATAGACATAGTTAGGATAACCACAAATCGTTTTCTCTACACCTTAAATATCTCTATACAAATCTAGAACAAGATATGACTTAGCCTAACCAACATAAACCAACCGGTTCTAGAATCATCTAGAACCTTAATACA